CAACGCATGCCTCAAGGCCAGCCACTTCATCCGCGAGCCGCCCAAAGGCTTCGATAAAGGCACTCTGGAGAAACTCCTGAGCCGAAACAGTCTCATTCCTGCCATCTTTCGACCGCTTGCATTGCAGCTTCGGCGCCAGAGCATCGCCCGCCCAAAACAACGTCGCCATCGTCGACGCCGCAATTTTCTGGTACCCAGACGGCCACACAAACGGTCCGCTCGGTTCCTTCTCATTCACAGGCGCAGTAGCTCTCCTCATTTCATCCTGCCCATGCACATATGCGGCACCGGTCTCAGTGAATGCCTCGACATCGAGCCCAGCAACTTCAAACGTCCAACCGGGTGCACCGCTGCCGCCGCTGAACCGACTCCACACATCCTGATGGGCGCAAATGAAGCACTTGACGCCGTACTTCGGCATGATTTCGATGAGTTGGCGTAGGTAGTCGATATACTCCAAATCCACATCCGTCTCCGGGTCCGGCCCAGAGTGACCAATCGACTCCCACGTTACCAGCAGACGGATAAGCGGCAAGCCCCAAGCCTGCAATCGTCTGAAGTGCAACGGCGCATCTTCAAGGGGGAATGGCCGGCCGATGAAGGTCACCGTTCGGTGCTCGAAGAAGCCGTCGGTGAGATGAGACAGGCCATTGGGCGTTGTAGGCAGCTTGCTCGCCCCAGAGATGTTGAGGCCATGCAGCGTGAGGGTGCGACCGTAGTTGTCGACAAAGTAGCCATCTTTAAGGCCAATTGGGCCTCCCAGTGCCGCGTCCGAGAGGTCCTGTGCAGCATAGTTGGCCGCCATGGCGAAGGGGCGGTGAAATGGTCGTTGGTTATCGAAGTGTAAGGTGAGCTTTTTAGCTTGATTGGCTGGGGATGTGCTCCGGACGTTACGCGTACCGACAGGTCGTCATGACAGATAGTCTGCTTAGTCAGCGGATGCTCCTTAGAGGCCAAGTCAGTCGTTGTCACCAACATGACATATTGACAACTTATCAACAGGGTCAATAGAGATCTTGAAATACCTTGAAGATACTGATACAATATTTGAAAGGGACCGAGAAAGCTGAACCAATTTCAGGTTTGGTTTGAGAGAGATCACCATCAATGAACACCATACCGGGAAAGTCGGGTCCCGGAGGTGGATGCTGTGCCAAGGCTTGTGCCCCGTCAATTGCTCAAGGTCCTTGAGCCATTTTCAGAGCCTACCCGCCGTTCACCAAAGCTCGACATATCGGTGTTTAATCGTCTCGGTAGGCTTGAACACCATCACCGATTTTACAGCAACGTCACAACGAGATGTGGAACTGGCAGTGTTCTTATTTGTTTTCATTATTCATAGAGTCGTCCATCTATGGCCGTCTACGGCTTTTTCTATATAAGGCCCGCATGGTATCATAAACTAGGAACGCGGTAGTCTTTTCTTTCCTTTATCGACAGCACACAAACTTAAAGCTTGCGAACGACCTTGTTTGAGGCCTCCTTCTCCTCCTTCTCGTCCCAGATGTTGATGTTCCAGCGGGGCTTGTAGGTGAAGGGAATGTTGTAGCGGCGGGGCTCCTTTCCGATCTCGTTGATGGCGGCAACGTCCTCGTCCGAGATCTTGACCTCCTGGAAGTTGGACTGGATGCGGCTGGGGGTGACGGACTTGGGGATGACGGAGTGGCCGCCGTTCTGGGACCAGGCGAGGACGACCTGGGCAGGGGTGGCGTTGAGCTTGGTGGCGATCTTCTTGACGACGTCGTTCTCGATCAAGAGGGGAAGACCGAAGCCGTTGTTGCCAAAGGCCTGTGCTTGTTAGTCATTGCGTCATTGAGAAAAGGAAGAGGGTAGTGTTTGGGGTGAACATACAGAGTAGGCGGTGATGTGAATGTTCTTTTCCTTGGCGTACTTGATCAGGGTGTCGTTCTGCTGGAGGAGGGGGTGGCGTTCGATCTGGTTGACGGCGGGGGTGACACCGGTGGCATCGATGACGGTCTGAAGGTCCTCGACGGTGAAGTTGGAAACACCGATGTTCTTGACCTTGGACTTGGGGAGGTCGATCAGGGCCTTCCAGGTGTCGACCAGGGAGACGCTCTGGTCGAGGTCAACCTCACCCTCGGCGGCGAGGGGGAAGAGCTTGTCGCCATCCTTCTTGAAGGCAACGGGCCAGTGGATGAGGTAGAGCTGTGAGTGAGGAGTTAGCCGGGTATTGCTCGCCCATTTGTGCCCACCCAACCTAGTACGCAAGGAGGGGTATTGTAGGAAGACATACGTCAAGGTAGTCGAGCTCAAGCTCCTTAAGGGTCTCGTCAAGAGCGGCCTCGACGTTCTCGGGCTTGTGGTTGTTGTTCCACAGCTTGGAGGTGATCCAGATGTCCTCACGCTTGAGGCCGGGGATCTCGGCGAGGGCCTTCTTGATACCCTGGGCGACCTCGGGCTGGTTCTGGTAGATCTTGGCGAGATCGAGGTGGCGGTAGCCGGCCTTGAGGGCCTCGTAGACACCGACGGAGACTTCGCCGGGGGCGGACTGCCAAGTGCCGTATCCCAGAGTGCTATAATGGCCAAAAAGTCAATTCACTTTGCGTGTTTTCTTTCGTTTTGTAGATTGGGAGGGGGGAAAGAGAGGCAGAACGCGAGCGCGAGAGCGGGGTATCGCGATCGGCAGGGGAATGGATGGAGGGGTAATTATTTAGACGTACGGGATCTCGGCGCCGGTGTTGAGCTTAGCCTTGCTTCCGAAAGACATTTTTTGCTGGATTTGTATGAGGATTGATTCAGAAGAAAAGAAGAGGGAGAGTATAAGTTATCGTAAGAATCACCAACAGAAGGAAGAATTGCTGGGGAGAGCTTCGAGGTGGCCTCTTTTTAAACAAGTGAGGGGTTCCAACACGCAATTGCATCATCGTTTGTCAGGATGAGCTGCGCACCCTGATGGGATGGGGTACCTCGTACTTTCTCTCCGTGACGCCCACTGTCGGACCCGCTAAACATCACTCGAGTACCAATTGTCGATGGAGGATGGCAGAGATGGAGGAGGAGACGCGGGTTGCCCCAGGACACGGTCGTGACGCTGCCACCGTCGCCAACTGTTAGGATTGCCTGAGTGGGTTGGCCGTGGCGGGGTTGCGGTCGTAGGTGTGGACCGTGGGCGATGGTGAGACTGGGGGACCCCGCGCTTCCACCTAAATCTCCCGTCTTCTGTCTCTCTCGGCTGCGGAAGCCCGAAGTCGGCCACCACGGAGGGGCTCTTCTTATGGCGTACGGATAGGCTCGCTTGGAACTGAGACGTGAGTCCGTTTGGGCCCGTCTGCGACCGTCTGGGCCCGGCACCGGGTAAGCACTACACGCTGACCCGTCCCGACACATAGTAACGTCTTCACACGTCTCTTAGAGTACCTTAGCTTGAGGCCTTCCGGTTCATATGAGATATCCTCCATGAGATTTATGGCATCTTGGACACTGAGACTTGCGTTGTACCATCTCACTCTATGATCTCCCTCTATGAGATGAAATCGAATCCGTCATCATGACTTTTGGTCACGTCTTATCTCTCACTCATGTCGTCTTGATCATGTCAAGCATCGACAGAATGTCGTGCAGTGACGGGACAGACGGCGCGGATGACGATCAGTGTAGCTCATGGAAATGCCGCAATTGCCACTAGACTTTCTCTCGGCACATCTTTACACCAAGCCCCGAAAGCGTGTTCCACTCAAACGTTCTTCATGTTCCACACAACCTTAATCCGATGCGATCAAATGAGATTTCGCCCTTTGAAGTATGGCAAACTGAGAATGCGCAGTGCATTGCGCGACTAGTGTACAGAATCAGGTCCCACAAAATCAACTGCTCACTCTCCTTGTTTGTGTAACAAACGTCAGGTATTTATGCCTATTCTTGACTGAACACCAAGCTTGTGGAGAATCGCTGATGCGCCCAGGAGATGTCATTAATGAGAGGTCAATTGACGACGAACATGGCTAGAGTGAAGAGAGCTAGCAGCGGCCGCTCTTGACGTGAATCCTGGCAGGTAAGCTCTTCGCTAAAGGCGCTGTGACTTGAACATTGAGATTGGGCTGTCGAATCTCACTTCTGAGTGCCTCAAGTTGAGTCTGAGGCTTTATCACAGGCCATGAGGAGTGAGAAGATCGGAATTGTGTTTGACAGAGGATGCAGCATCTGAGGCATTGAGATCAAGCGACCAGGTAATAGGAGAAAGATAAGTGTATTCATGAAAGTCGGCGATGAATATCACTACCTCGGATCTAGCAATGCTTCTCCTGCCTCAACCCCCACGTCAATCATATCCATGCAAGCTGTCATCGACGTCGGAAAAAGAATCTCACATCCAAAGCCAAGTTCCCGACCGGGTAAGATGGACACAGGCGCCGGTTCCTGCATCCTTCACAAGCCAATCACCCAATCAGCCTCCCAGTGAGACATCTCACGCTGCTCGCTTACGGTCGAGAAGCGCGCGATCTGTAGCGCCGCCCGAGTCCCGATGGGATCATCAGGGGGGAGCTCTCAAGGGCCTGACAGGATGCGGCCCGCCACGGTCCACTGTGGAGAACCATAAAATTAGAATGCCTCAAACAACCGTGGCTGCCGACTGGTGCCTTCAGACGCGAAAGGTGTTCACAGCTTACTTCGCATCTTCTCAGTCATACTTATGAACGACGAAGCTCAGCATATGCGTTAAAAGATCAAATGAACACGAGGTTTTGAGTACCTTGGACATGGCGCGGTAGCCGCTCCCGGGCTTGGTCGTTCATGGGAGGTCGTAACGCTGGGTTATTCCGGAAACTTTGTAAATGCCGAAATGCCGTGATCTCGAATTATGGGTCCCTGTTCGGCGCCGAAACTATCAATGATCTCCTTTCATTTAGCCTATCTCTTCACACTATAGGAACCATTACTTGGCTTTTTTTCTTTCATCCTATGCGTCTCGCCGAAAAGCCGACAAGAATACGGCCCCGGTAGCTAGACGTTCCCCAGAGCGGAATCGTATACCGGCTTACATGGCGACCGCCGCCGGCATTGGAGTAGGTGTGGCGAGACTCAGCAAAGCGTGCACTGAGTGTCACTCGCGCAAGGTCAAGTGCGATGCGCCTATTGTCGGGATACCCTGCGGCCGATGTGTCAGCAAGGGATGCTCCGAGAGTTGCAAGTTGGTCTCTCGCCAGATACGAAAGAGGTAGGCGAAAGCATGGGAAACCTCGGACAACATTCTCGGTCCTCTGACGATGGCGCTCAAGGAAGAGAAGAACAGACGATTTGATCCAAGACTGCCACGGCACCCAGAATGTGAGAACGCCATGTTTTTCCCATCGGTCCATCCGGGCAGCTCAAGTTCGGCCCATGGCATATAAAGCTGTAGAGATATAGCAGTGATGACTGACTGGAGCAGAACACTGAGTCTACGCCCAGAGAATCCTCGTCGAACCATGCTTTAGTGGACTCTTCAACCTCTTCCAATCCAATCGTGCCGCCGTCTTCCATCCGGCGCACCCACGGTTCCCATTGTCTTGGTGAATTTGGGAAGACGAGCTCGATAGGTTCAGGCCGCGCGCCCGAAAATATACGAGACGTCTATGCACTCCCGCAGGCCCAAGCAGAATACAACGGAAGGAGTCATTATCTTAGTATATTGAAGACGGCGATGAATGGCAGTGAGACGGGTGAAAGTCCCGGGCTCGGGTCTACTGCCAACAGCTCCACCGATAACACTCCACACTACCCAGAAAACACACAGGTCGGCATGTCTGGTTTGGATCCGGTGGATCTAGAGTTTCTTGTAAAGAAAGGCGCATTTGTGTTGCCGCACCGGGATGCCTTGTAAGCCGTCCATTCAAAAGGTAACTCCCATGATGAACCTAAAAAGGCTGACAAGAAGATGTGAGAATGGTGTTTCTGACTGCCTATTTTCGCTTTGTTCATCCATATTCGCCAGTATTGGATCCAAACCACTTCCTGCAATGTTACGAGTCAGGATCTTATTCGCCGTTCCTCATACAGACAGTCCTAACAAGTGCTACTCTCTACGTGCCGACTGAGCTCCTCACCTCGTGTGGATACCCAAACGTCACAGACGCGCAGACGGCATTTTTCAACAAGGCATTGCTACTACACGACTTTCAATGCGAGAAGAGTCAACTATGCCTGCTTCAGGGATCCCTCATCCTAGGCACAACTGCCTTCTTCTACCCCATCGACCGAGATGTTCAGTACTGGTTCTTCAATGCCGTCCGGCTTGCCACGAAATTGGAACTCCAGAAGCTGTGAGCACACCTCAAATTCCAAACTCAACCCGGAGTTCAATCTTCTCAACATTACAATTCGCAGTGATCAACTACGGATTGCGGACACTCAGCTTCGCGGGCTATATAGGAGAATTTGGTGGGTGATCTACGTGAGTTAATCACCTGGGCCCAGGAGATTGGAGCCACTTGACTCACGTGCCATTCGAATTGGCCCATCGTTCTAGTGTCGAGACGTGCTACTGTCATTCCTTGGCATGCAAAGTATGCCTCTGGTCAGCGACAAGAAGAAGCTGCCAGCGTTGCCAACGGCGGAAGATTGGGAAGTTCAGAGTGACAACATAAACACCCTGTTCCCTTCCACGGTAACTCGTAAACAAGAGCTTCACTTCATTGATTACTGCAAATTGTCTGTGCTAGGTAGGTTGCAATTGGTCAACATATGGTACAGCTCTTGACACTTACCAAATGGTGACAGGAAGGAAATGGCTTGTTGGAATATCCGACCCAGATCAGTTCAACGCTGAAACCATGGCTCACGAGTTTCATAATTGGAGAAGTCAGCTTCGAGGAGCAATCTACGCGGACCATCACCTCACCGATAGCCCCTACCTCACGGCCCTAATCGCAGCCAGTTACAGGTTCGAGTGTATCTTGTACAGGACTCTGAAGCTTCATTGGAAGTCTATTGATGTTTCCCAGTACGACTGGGTACGAGGTCGACTTCGATGCTCTATGTTTGAGCTTGACACGCTTTTCGGCAGAGCGCTTGCAAATGGCGAACTTAGGAGCCTGCCCATGTCGTTGTGCGTCTCCCCAACAGAGAGTCCCAAAATCGAGAATAAACGACTAACGATTGAGCCTGGAAGCAATTCCAATATACCAATAGCACTGGCCCTCCACATAGAGACCGCCTTGGATGCCACCGAGTCGAACGCAACCAAGTCCATGTCGCTCATCTACATTCGTCAAGGATTGCTCATTCTCGAGCAGCTTCAGGACTCGCCAGTAATGAAGAGGGTATTGTCCATCTTTGAGTGGGCATTAACTCGATTGGATCTAATCCCCGAGGTTTCTCAGGACAAGCAAGTCAGTGACGGTGTTCGTGCTGGCAGTGAGCAGGACGGGTCTGTGGACCAGGTGGGAGCCTCGACGGGTCAGGAATTTGGAGAAATGCTCGATCAGATGGAGCCGTGGTTTGGTGATTTCCTCGGACTTGACTTCCTCGATAACTTGAGGTCGGGCGGCGATAGAGGATAGACCTCGAAATTTGTTGGGCATAACAGTGATGAAATGTGAATCATTTGACGCGGTTTTGCGAGGAAAGTCTTTCCGTGATACTTCCCACCACAATCTTGTTGCCGGTAGTTGGGTAGTCCTTTTGCTCCACACAAGTTTGAAAATCAGGTATGTCGGTGAGTCTGTTGGCTTGCGGTTATCGATGCCTCCAGCGAAAAGGGCGACAATTCACCGTATGTTCATCACGCAGGTTTTGAGGACCCAGTCATGAAGTGAGATGCATTCAAGTTGTGGTCATCATGATTGCGGGATCAAGTGGTACGAGGGTTCTATGTCACGGTCTAGATCTGTTCCGGCGTCTGGGATATTCAAGTCTAGCTACATGTGTCTTCAAACAAGAGGGAGTGTCTTGGTGCTACCAGACCAGAAACCCTTGAACAAAAGTCCCACCTCCTGCACATTTTCGATCGGGTATATGCCAGCCAAGATGCCGTCTGGGCGTAGAATAACAAGCCCGCCGCTTTTGGCTGAGATTCCAAAGACATTGTGTCCCTGTCCGTCGACATCACAGAGCACCAAACTAGAAGGGAGCCCATCATACACATCCCACGTGTTGGTAATAGTACCAGTGACAATCGTCGTGAAGCTAACCATCTGGTCGTATTTATTGACCGCGTTGAAAGACTCGAGAGTCTCACGCAGCGCAGCCACCTTTGCTGTTTGTTGACCAGGGCGACCAGCAAAGATGAGCATGTTCCACTGCCCAGTGTTCTTATGGATAATGCTCTGCAGGCGGATGGGGACAGACGGGCCGGGTGCTCTGAGAAGGATGTCAGGACAGCGATGTCCGACGGCCAAACTACCAGTGGTAGCCTTGTCGACCAGGACCGAGGGCCCATAGCTGACGCCAAGACCAATGTTGAAGCTGGCGTTTGACGTCAATATGTCGCCCAGCACCTTGCTCGGCTCAGGCTTGCCGCTACATCCGTTCCACGTCTCGGGCACGTCGCCAGACAATACAGCCGCTAGGGTCCTGTCGATATCAATGACCTTTTGCGCGACGGCACGGCGCTCCTCGGAGTACGTGTCGAGCACTCCCGTCTGATACCACCCTCTGAGAACTCCAGCCAGCTTCCATGAGAGGTTAATGGCGTCGTGGATTCCGGTGTTCATGCCCTGGCCGAAGCCGGAGGAGTGTGTGTGAGCAGCGTCGCCGGCAAGGAACACGAAGTCATCCTTTCGCATGGTCGCGGCTACCTTTTGCTTGATTCTGTTTTTGTCGTCAGAGAGGTATCTTTCGTAGTCTTAAAGAGTTATACTTGCGTGTAAATAGTCCACCAGTCGATTCGCTCGAACTCAAGGTTGAACGGTTGGACGGACTTGATTACCTCCTCCATGGCCTGTTCTTTGCTGAGACCTTGGGGATACTTGGCCTTGAGCGTCGGAGTGAAGACGTATCCCAGACGGCACGCATCCTTATCAAGCCGAGCTAGGAAGGCGCTGCCGTACTCGGCGCTGTTGATTGTCACAAAGCCAAGGTCGGTCTCAGGAATGTCGGTCTTGGCACGGCCATCAAAACGAACCCATTCGTACGCCGTTTTGTCACCAATCATTTCAATCTTGGCAAGTTGTCGGACTTGAGACGTGACTCCGTCGGCGCCGATCAGGTATTTGCTTTAAAAGATTAGCTAAGTTCCTTATCATTGAGGCATGTATGTGAATGGGCTATACCATCTGATTGAGCGTATTCCGTGCTGAGGATGTTGAAGAACTGCTGTGAGATTATAGCCGTCTTGGGGTTTGTCGTCAATTTGGTAGTCGACAAGCTCCCACTGATATTGGACCTCGTTTCCTGAAACTGCTCTGTACTTGGCAGCAAAGATGGCCTGAGAAGACTTTTGACGGATGTTGATGATATAGTCGTGGAAAGTTCCGGTCATGGCAGTGAACATTGACTGCTGGCCCACTGCCGACACTCTTTTACCGCCCTGGAAGGTGGCGATTCCCCGTACAATGTTGCCCTGTTGAACTATTTCCTCGGCGACGCCGACCTGTTCGAAGAGCTCGAGAGTGCGGGGAAAGAGAGTAATGGCTCGGCCAAAGGACTCCTGGACCTCCAACTCTCGTCTTTCTTTGGTTCAGCGTCAGATCCGCCCAATATCAAAGTAGCTTCCGCCAACTTACCAATGATGATTGTGGGGATGCCTTGTTGGGCCAGACCGAGGGCAGTCACCAGGCCGACCGGGCCAGCGCCGACAATGAGAACATCAGTTGGCTCGAAATCCATGGCCAATCAAGATAGTCAGATGAGCTGCGGGATATGTTCAGATGGTTGATGGTAGATAGAAAGGAACCAGAAGGAGTCGGTGGTCCTGATGACAGTCTTATATGTGACCGGGAAGATTTCGGTCTTCGAGTGCACGGGATGAACTAAATCACCGTCTACAATTTACGTCGCATCGTTGCGTCTTTGCCCGGAGTTCGGGGTCAAAGTGATAGGCCGAAAGTACCCTAGACAATACATATCTTTTGCTTGATATACAGGAGGCTCTCCATATCCCGCAGCCGCCTTACTCGGCGTCCAGACTCTGTAGAGAGATGAAGGTGACAAAATCCCGGCGCCGAAAGAAAATGTGGGTCTTGTTCGGCACCGAACGATGCGAATCAATCTTCAATTGCCTGCCGCGTCTTGGCCGTCCCATTGAACTGGCCGTCATTCTACCTCAGTGAGTAAACTCTCGACAGGGATGAAGCAAGGTTCGCCAGACACAAACGACCCCAAAATTCAATGGGTCGCTTTCACAATTAGGGGGACTGAAATACGCGGGAAATGGGGCACGTGTGTTTTGACTTTCAGCTCCATGTCTCAACCGTCTCGAAACGTCGCTCCAAGTTCCATGGAACGCCACAAATCTAACCAAGAAAGCAGCCGCCCGTTGGCTTGGCTTGGCCCAGGCTTGCTCGGTAAAAGTCAAAGTTGGTTGTGAACACCTAACCGCCTTTTCTCCTAGCCTTGCACCGCCGGCCCTTACCTCACCTCAACTCCAACTGGTGAGATTTTGCTATGAGATTCCCAATCAGGGGCTTGCGACAGCGACATCCGTAAACGGTTCCCTCCTTACAGACCACAGCTTTTCTTGTCGCATCTTGCTTGGTCACACTTCATGTTCCTTTCTCGTATTCGATAGACGGCAGACACTCTCATTCCACCGCCGTCGCCGAACCGTTTCCATGACTCGAACCTAGCCGTGTCACACAGTCTCCCTCCCTTGCTTGGCTTCAACCATCGAGAAGGCCTCATCACGCCCCAGGGCCATCACGCCGCCTCTCATTCACGCGTCTCTTTATTCACATATACTTACACAGACATACATAGACATTTGTCATGGGGAGGACATCATACCGCTGGACGCGGGTGCGCTCCATCGTCCTCACCCTCATCACAATAACATGTGTCATCTACATCCTCGACACAACATGGCTACACCCGCGCACAGAAACAGCCATGCTGGAACGCTTCATGAACACAGAAAGCCTCGTTCGGCAACCGGCGACACCAAAGTCTAGCTTCGACTGGTCCGCCGTCGACCTAAAGTACCCGCCTCAAGACCCGCTCACCCACGTCCCGAACGGCGGCCGCGGCTCCCTGCCCCGTGTGCAACACCGATTCGCCTCCGAGTCCCTCTCCGCTTCCCGGCGCCGGGAAGCCCGCCGGCAAGAAGTCCGGCGCCTCTTCCAAAAGAACTGGGCGAATTACAGAGAGTATGCCTGGATGAAGGATGCTCTCAACCCCATCTCGGCCACCGCAAAGGACCAGTTCTCCGGCTGGGCCGCCACCCTCGTCGACTCCCTCGACGTCCTGTGGATCATGGGCCTCAAGCCGGAATTCGAGGAGGCTGTCGCGGCCGTCGCGAAGATTGACTTTAGCATCTCCACGTCGGACCGCGTAAACACCTTTGAGACAAACATCCGCTACCTCGGCGGTCTCATGGCCGCCTACGACCTCAGCGGGCGCCGCGTCCTCCTCGACAAGGCTACCGAGCTCGGTGATCTGCTGTATGGCGCCTTCAACACAGAGCACCGCATGCCGGTAGACTTTATCAACTTCAACGACGCAAAGTCAGGCAAGGGCCTCATCGTCGAGGGCTCCGTCGTCTCCGCGTCACCGGGCACCTTATCCCTCGAGATGACGCGCCTGTCCCAACTCACCGGCAATCCAAAGTACTACGACGCCGCCGCCAAAGTCATGGACCTCTTCCACGACGGCCAGCAAAAGACTAAACTCCCTGGCATGTGGCCCATGTTCGTCCACATGGCCGACCGTGACGTCGTCACGGGCTCAACCTTTACTATCGGCGGCTGCGCCGACTCGCTCTACGAATACCTCCCCAAGATGATCGCCCTCCTCAACGGTGCGGAACCAAAATACCGCACCATGACGGAGAACTTCCTCAAAGCAGCCAATGAGTCCCTCTTCTTCCGACCCATGCTTCCCGGCGGCGAAAACGTCCTCATCTCGGGCAACGTCGACGTCGACGCAGGCGGAAACCGCTCCCTCGACCCGGAAAGCGAGCACCTGTCCTGCTTCATCGGCGGCATTTACGCCCTTGCCGGTCGCGTGCTGGGCAAAGAAGAGTGGGTCACCGTCGGCGCGCGGCTGACGCTGGGGTGCTACTACGCCTACCAGGCCATGCCGACGGGCATGATGCCGGAGCGGTACAACATGGTCAAGTGCGACCGTCGTGACGCGTGCGTGTGGGACGATGACAAGTGGGACGCGGCGAAGAAGTTGAAGACGGAGTATAAGGAGCACTTGCCCAAGGGCTTCACTACGGCCAAGGACCCGCGGTATATCCTCCGGCCCGAGGCGATTGAGAGTGTCTTTGTGCTCTACCGCATCACGGGCGACCAGGGATTCCAAGAGGCGGCCTGGGAGATGTGGAAGGCTGTGAGTAACGGGACGCTCGTCGAGCACGGCAATGCTGCGGTGTTGGATGTTACGCAGAAGCAGGATCCGCTGCCCAAGGAAGATTACATGGAGGTGAGTTTTCTCGTCATGTTCCTTTTGCTTATCTGCTGCTCTTTCCTCATCTTTGCATTCTCCTGCCATGTCAGCATTCCTTTTTGGCAGGGATGAGTTTTCCGTTCTAAATCGGGAGATTACGAAGGGGAGAGAACAGAGAGAGAAAAATTCCGCTTGACTGACACTGCATGACCACCTATTTAGAGTTTCTGGCTGGCGGAGACACTGAAATATTTCTATCTCGTCTTCTCACCGCCCGATCTCATCAGCCTCGACGACTATGTGCTCAACACAGAAGCGCATCCCTTCCGGAGGCACCTTTGAATTGGGGCAAGGGATATGGTTAGAGTTAAGGAAAAGGTGGCATCGTTCACTCACCCCGGATTTCGTATCCCGAACGCTTGGGTTTGGATGAAAAGGAGGTGCCCGGACAGCTCCGCTGATCTGTGCTCTCTTTTATCCCACCAGGCGAGTCTGATACATGACTTGCTAAAAGCGGCACTGAACGTGATGGGTTTACATATTGCCGGACTCGTGTATCTTTACAGAGTATGAGCGAATAGATTCGCCGAGTAATGACATTTTGAGCTCTGATACCTAGCTCCATTTTGGATAATGATCGTGAGCAGAAGATCGGCCTATGAGTCTGGTGTCTTTACGATGTCACGAGTCAACCGCTACTGATCCGTGGTGAAGCGTCATAGCTCATCGGTGATGATAACTGATCGCTATTCAACCGTGTTGAGCCGCCACCCTAACAGTAGACTTCATTCTCTAGATGGCTCATCGCCCTTGGCTACTGTCATGAAAGATGCTGTGAAGCAGCGGCTCTCTTGGAATTCCTGCGCAGTACGTCACCCGAAGCAGCCGCAGTAAATCGTGACGAACCAACTCATCACGGGTGTATTTTGCCACTCTTGGCAACCATGCCACAATCATCGGGTCTGTTTACCCAGATCTAGACGGCTGTCGAGAAGCCAACGTAGCAAGGGTGACCATGAGTCGAAAACATGTCTTGGCGGTAGATACTAGGAGATCGCAGGAAAGATGAGCACTCTGGGTGAGACAGGCCGGTAATATGTGGGCTTGGACCGAGATGACTGGGGGAGTGCACGTTGGGCAATGTAATGGTACAGACGTTATTAATTACTATGGTCTTGGAATTTCGGCCTCTGGGTGATCTCTGGAAGCTTGTTTTGTAATCGAGTTCTAGGCGGCTCGTCGGCTGAAAATGGAGATCTCTGGGCGTACTATATCGTAGACTACGTCGTAGCCCTGCTCTGCTTTCTCGCAAGAGTCTGTAGAATAGAGGGTTGTCTCCGAGATTGAGTAGAGTCTAGGAGCTCGGTTTCACCATCTGCCCAAAGGCTCGTGAAGACTAATCATCAAATGAACACCTCCTTTCCCACCGGGGAGAATTTTACAGGCAGAAAGAAGAACAACCCCTAAAACCCTGTATACGTCCACTCGCCTGGTCCAATTCACATTGCCGTGCCTCACTCTCGCTTGCGCACGTCAATCTGTCAAACCCAAGCAGACGGAGTAGCCCACATGCCGTCACACTACAGACACAGACTACGGATACACACAAATGTCAAAGCCACGCCTAGCTCCAACAGATTCTAGAACTCAAACCCCCCATTAGCAGGGCTTGTAGGCCAGTTGACTCCACATAACAACCATAAATAACATGCGACTTCCTAGTTGCAATATGAGGCTTCAGGATCTTATCTCATCTTGGTATTTGTTGGGCACGGCCGTCCACTACGAACGACTTACTCGCGGTCACTAACCCCGGGACGAGGGCGCCTGAGTCGTGTAGCAGTGCCGTAGCCAAGGCCCTCTGACGGGAGAACAACCCTAAGCCACTGGGGAAGTGCGCCATTTGCGCCCCCCCTAATTCCCCATTCTTGTTGCCTCTCTAGCCTATGGAACCTCTCGCAGTACGAAAGTTTAGATTTCAACGGGCGCGAAGCACCTATTGCGGATAGTTGCCAGCTCGCAGAAAGAATGCCAAGACGCGAGAGTCTAGAAGAGGGAAAAGACTCACGCGACACATTACCACGTCCATCAAATCTCTCAAGAGTAAATTCCCCGGCTGATTACCCGTTAGATTGCCCGCCCATCATCGTCATGAGGCAGCAACACACGGCTAGCCAATGTGCCTGTAGAGATGTATCCGTACGAATACTCCATACTTAAGGTAGCGGACTTTGAACTGAGCAGCTCTGCAGCCCCCTACTAAGGATACCTAGCCAACGGAAGGCCCGCCAAGAGGGGGATTGGAAACACCTCATCGCCAAGAGCACAGATCAAGCTCATATACTCGATGGGCTTTTAATAGCCCCAAACACTGCCCGCGCAGGCGCCAAGACCACCCACCCCCAAGCAAAGCCGGTGCAGCAACAGTAGCGAAAACTTGCGGACAGCCTGCTGGCCCCCGTCCTTCGCTACTCCGTGAACTTTACGCCGTACTCAACCAGATAGGCTATCTAGAGTCGACAGTATCGGATTTTGCCGTACGCCAAGTAACGCAGAACGGACCTCAAGGTGAACAACCTAGGCCACCAGCCAATCCACAATACCACAGTACTCAGTACACTACTCCGTACACTGGTAATTTTGGCCGGTCTTTGAGGCATAATCATGTGCCTGACCACTTTTACCACCTGCTCACTGACCAAGTGGTTCAGGACAGCTCCGCTACGGATACCAGCAACCTCGAAAATAGCATCCTCCTTGTAACCACATCGAGCAGATCTCGAGCACTTTCCAAGAAGTCGCAAACTCTTGGTTAGTCTTGGTTTAGCCAAAGTCTTGGTACTCCTCTTGCAGAGACAAGCCAGTCAACCTAGCAAGTCTACGGAAGAGGGCGGTGTCAACCTCAACAGACCCTTCATCCATGCCCCCAGAGGCCTTGGCATAATGTTTCCAAAATTTATCACCTCCATCCCGTAGAATTGACTCAAGATGCAAGTTTCCGTTGTAAACTGATGTATAAGAAGAAGCTGATCATCCCGCCTTTTCTCACTCCTGTCATCCCATCACCATCACCATCATCATCCCACCTCACCCACACAACTCCAACTCAACCTTCTCTCACAACCATCCAAACTCCTCTCCACCTCCAACTCAACACCAACACAACTAAACCGCCAAAATGCGCGCCGCCTTCGCCATCATCTCCCTCCTCGCCGCCACCGTCGCCGCCCGCTTCGACGGCCCTTGCACCGACACCGTCTGCGGCGACTCCAGGGTCAACTGCGAGGCCGAGGGCCGCATCTGTGTCGGCTTCCCCAGCGTCGACCCCGAGAAGCGCCTCGGATGCACTTGCAGCATTGTCTAAATGCAAATATCCTACAGAATGATTTTCAATTTCTACCTACGCATGGTATGTGTGCCCTTCAAGCTGATGCTTCCTCTTCAAGGACCCTCATGGCTAACTCGATACCCATCAGATCAGCATTTGAAAGGTCTCCCATTTTGGAAAGACTTGGAGTTTTTCGGGAAAGATACAGGAACGAGGAACAAGACGCATCACACTCACGGGAAACCCATCATGAAATGGCAAAACACATAAAGGCGCTCGGAGAGAAGCGATGGAACCCACACAGCATGATATCCAAACCTGAACAAAAAAACAGCATAGAAAAATCCCACATACTACCTCTTCCTGTCCGCAACGCAACACATCTCTGCCATTCCCTCCCAAAGTCCATGATGCAACCCATGATCGCCCATCTGCCGTGACGTCCGCCCATCCTTCCCGGCGCCACACCCGCCTCTCTCATCCGTTCAAGATCGCATAACCCGCCAAGACCCCAGACACGATTCGAGGCGCTCGTCTCCCGCAGCCAAGACCCGTCCACCTCACCACCACCACCCCAACGCCCTCCTCACACCCCTTTTCCCATCCATTTCCTATACACTCACATATACCTCCATTCAAACAAACCCATCCATCCCCAACCCCTCAAAAATCCCCGACGGCTCCTCGGACCCACCGAATCGGCATCCTCCCCATCCCCGCTTACCCCCGAGACCCAACGCACCCGAGGGACCCGAACACACGCAGCACGAAACCCACTTTGCCGAGATCGATCGGCACCGGGATCAAGACTCACTTGAGTGCTGGGCACTTTACGGTGGGCAAACCAGCACACGGGACAGCGAAGGCCTTAACAGAAGATTGCTTATCGTCGCTGACACCGCCACTGCTAAGAAAGTAAGAGTTAGTGCTGAGCCCCCTCTAATGAGAGGCTTGTGAGCCTCATGGGGAGAGGTTACATTCGGGACCGCTCTCTGTATCGGTATTTCAATCGCATCTCTCTAGCTACGTGTGACTACTCAATTGCGAGTAAGCTGTATGTTGTCGCAATCGGATCAAGTCTCGCCAGATTGCAGTCTTGCACACTTTACAGTAACGATTCCTTGCTGTGACTATAGACTTGGCATCACAGCGACGGGAATCCAAGACAGTATCCAAAGGGGGAAGAAGTCCCCCTTTACAGCACTACACGCCGACCGTGATACTTCTTCTATGCCTCGCATGAAAACAAGGAATCCCATCCAAATGTGTAAACATTGAAGAGACTAAAAGTACTAGTACCAAATAATAGTACATACAAATGAAAAGAGACCCATAATCTCAAACCCGAGACTCCCCATGGCTCCCGTTTTCCCCATTTTCTTCTTCCAAAAGAATAAGTCTCGCGTGTGGTATCATCCCGCTCCCAAAGAGTTCGTCCCAGGACAAACAAAAACGCCAAAAAGGTCACAGGCTACTATACAAACCAACCAGATGTAATACAAGAAGAAAAGAAAGAAAACATCAGGTGATGAATAAGAAGGGACTCACATCTTCCCCCATCCCCTAACAAACCCCCTCTGCGCCCCATTCACCCTCGCCAAGATCCCAAGCCCAACATCCTCACCTCCACCCCACCCGCCCCCGCGCTTGACGTTGATGCCGTACGCCATATCCCCGTCTCCCCTCACCCCATTGACGTCTTCCGCGCCCCTGCGCTTCCTCACCCGCTCATACCCAATCTTGAATCCCATCGAATGGCTCCCGTCCAAGAAGCTGCGCTTCATCTCTTCCGTCACCTGCCACTCCGCCCCACGGCCCAAGAACCCAAATACATTGCCGTCGGCCAGCAGCGCTGCCACGGAAGCGATACTGCACGGGTTCCGCGGGAGGATAGTATCCGTCCCGGGCGTGAGAAGCCACGCAACGAGCGTTAAGGCAACAAGGAGACCGAGCACGGACTGGATGATGCGTGTCGAAGCGGTGTCCTGCACCAGACGGCGCAGAGAGGTGACGGACGTCGATTCGAGCATGGCGGGGATGACCTGCTGCGCCGTCACGTCCGGGAGGCGACGACGGGAGTTGACGTTGAGGTTCTGGGCGCGCAAGATGCCGTGCTGCCGGACGATGGCATCCGCTACGAGACCGCTCTTGCCCAGGCCCGGATCGCCTAGGTTCCCCGCGGGCACCGCGAATCGCGATGTGACGAGTGAACTGAAGAACGGATCGAGCTGGTTGCCCGTGGTGAGGTTGGCGAGGAGTCCGTACTGCAACGGGAGCAGTCTTAACTTGATCGGCTTGGCGGTGTTTTCCTGTACGATGGGCGAGTAGGTTGTGTCCACGTGTAGTGAGGCGCCCGTGAGACGGATCTTGGCCGTTACAGTCTCGAGCGTCTCGTTGCAGCCCATGGCTGAGATGTAGCCCACCTGCATGGGGGTGCTGTCGGAAAGCTGACCCCAGACATAGGTGAAATCGGAGCACTGCGACGAAGCAGCAGACCGTGGTGTAGCGACGCCGAAGACGGAAGAGGGGGAGACGCCCGGCGGTAAGACGGCGTTGGACCGGATTGATGGATCGAGGCACGGCTCACCGGCGATGTTGACCTTCATGTCCTGTGAAAACTGATTCGGCAAGTCAGGGACAGTAAAGTTTGTGTTGATCTCGGATTGCGGGTAGAGTCTGCAATCGAGCCGTGAGCGAAGGGCAGGCACCGTTGCGATAATGGTCCCGGCGCCGTCCTGCATATCGAGGGGCTCCGATAGCTGCAGACTGTTGAAGTTGAGGTCCTCAAAGGTGAATGATGGGAAGGTCAGGTTCGCGTCGAGAATCAGGGAGGCAAGAAGAGTATCAGTGGTACAGGTCGGACAAGGTGAGGACGCATTAATGAAGCTGTCGAGGGTCTGAAGGTTGACGGGCCGCGTAGACGGGATTGGTGTCGTACTGTATAGAGCCCCAGAGAATGTCGCTAGGAGCGACGCAACGATTAGAGCGGTGGTGGTGAACACGACAGCGATATTTTGCGTCTTGACGGCATCGAACAGGATTCTATGCTTGGACTTGTCCATGAAGTCCAAGTGAACCGTCGTCTCGAAGGATCCCCCTTCTTTAAGCTTTGCGTACGGCGCAAGACATCGGGTCGCACAGTCCGCGGCGGCGAGGTACAGCACCACCAGACCGAAAATGACGCCGGTGCCTGTTGTCCATAGAAAATGCTTGTCGGTGTTTGCCTTGGTCGTCGCGATGCCGGCGTGTGCGTTGGAAATACGAAGCACAACTTCAAGGGCAACGATCATGCCAATCATAGTCACCACGGCGGCGAACCTTGCCCATGGATTTAGCGGCAGCGGATGCTTCCAATCGGCATTTCGTACAAACTCGACCGGCTGGTTCTGAGGGGGCGGGGCGCCACCAAAGATCTTGAAGTATCCTCTCGCCTCCTTTTCGGCCTTCTCGTAGGGTTCGACGCCGGTGTAGTAGTTCGTGCCGAGCAGCTTCTCTCGTACGACTGATGTGTCGGCAGCACCGGTGCCGCGTAGACACTGAAGAAGCTGGCGACTATGAGCGAGGAGGGTGGCCATGTTGATAATGGTATTTGGGTCGCGGGGCAGAAAGCCTTTTGCTGGCGCGAGGGCAATTGCAGCCAACACTAATATTAGAACGAAGCCCAGCAGGCCAGAAAGGAGGTGCGCTGGTATTTGGCGAACATTGAGCCGCTCTCCAATGATGATGGCCGTACCGGTAGATTTCTCTTGCGTCTCGCCCATCAGTGAGCTCCGTGCGACGAGAGCAGTATACTGCTTCCAGTACGCTGTCGAGATCTGGGTCAGGTTGTCCGTCTTCAGGAACGTCTCGATCGGAGGAAGCCCGTAGTCCTTGATCTGCATAGCGACAGCCGAGTTCATGACGGCGTCGGAAGCAACAATGGCGATGCCGGGGTACCGACTATTGATATTTGGTATCGCTGCGAGGATCTGCGAATCGGTGGGATAGGAGTTGAAGTGTCCTTGTACAATGTCCCACGGATGAACCAGCTCGAGGGTCTTGTTCGTTGCAGAGCGGTTCCGTTCGATCTTGATGAGTTGCGTGTTGTTCTTTGTGACATGAACCCTGGTGAGGAAGTACGATGGACGGCATATCAGTGCTGCAGACCTTGAAACAGCACCCGAAATGGGCACATTGAAAATGTCGCTCTCCGTCGGTACACTGGATTCGTTAATCTGGATGGCTCCCGTCATGACGACCACCCTCCCATCGTCTGGGAAGGGCGAGTTCCCGCACGTCCCAGCCTGAAATGCCATGAAGAAGGTAGGAAGTGTGAAGCCAATCAGCGCCATATTCGGAATGGTTTGCGTCAAGGTGCAATTCGGAGTCGAGACAGTGGCGTTGAGCTGAACGTCCGAAGCTTGGATGAACTGGACACCGTTCAAGGTGAACTGTGCCGGCTCACACTCGATTTCGGATTGGAAGCCGTCGACATTGGTCCTCAGCTCAGCTGTCGCGGGCAAGTCCGCAGAAAATGACTGGAAAGCGAATTCTTTGGAAGTGCCGTCTGGGAAGTTGAGGCCTTTCGTCTGGAGAGCTGTCATTGTGAAGAAAGGCAGGGCACCAGCATTCCGTAGCCCAGTGGGATCGTCCACAAACGTGTTGTGTAGGTTCAAACTCACACCTCGAGCAGTCACAATCTGGAACGTTGGGCTGACGAGCGCCACAGCGATGACGATGATGATTTTGAGCGTCAGGCCGACAGACGCCGTGGCCGCAACGAGCCAGTCCCGATTCTTTGTTGCTTTCGCAATGGTCCATGGCTCGAACATGAAGACGTAGTCGAGCATCAGGGTCCTGTCCACACTCGCAGGTCCCTTTGCCATCCGAAGCCACGGCGCGCTGGCTTTTGCCTGGTGTTCGGGTCTCGCCCATAATGCGGCGATACAGGTGAAGATGAAGGCCGAACCGTACTGCCATAGATATCTGAACCCATGCTCTGGCGAACCGAGTCCTCCTCTTTTGTTTGATAGGTCCAACACGGCTTCTACGGTTACCATGAGTCCGGCGAAGAGGACC